TAGTTCTTTAGCCACATGCCCAGAATGTGGTGGCCTTTTGCCATTTTGCACAGCTGCCCGGTGAAGCGGTTGCCCGTCATGTCCAGGGGACGCCCTAGCATTGTACTGAAATAAGACAAACACCCACAGAGCACGTGTGAACGACACAACTTTTACACACCAGCTGGTCAAGTCAGATGCTCTTGTTTTGAAACTGGAGTCCCTTCTCCTAGGTGGCTATGGTTAGGTGCCAGGGCTAGTGAGCCCCATCTGCCTGGAGCAATCTGGTTGTACGGCACCAGTCTCCTGCCTTTCACACCATTGCTACAGGCTGCAGGGCAAAAATCCTGAGTTATTTGCTCTTAAGCAAGAAGCTTAATCTCTGGGGGGAAAGGGCGGAGAGCTTTGTTCCTTCTTACTGAGGCACTTAATGTACTGTCCTTCTAAATTCATGTACCAAGGCCTGGCTACAATTGCTGAAGGCCACAAAGGAGGCCTTGGGAATAAAACAGTAATTAATACATTAAAATAGCAATTTATACATGTGTTTAAAAAACCCACACAAGCAAAAGTGAGTCATGCACAGGAGATGCAAGGGTCCATTATTGAATGTTTAATGACCGAGACATGCCAGGGCCATGCCTAGCTAAGGACATGCTTGCACAGTCCATGCACCTTCAGACCATGGGAATTATTCTAACAGGCATTTAGCATAGGCCTAGGTGGCTCTTCCTCCCTCTGGGCTGCCAAGACTCTCATCCCTCAGAATTGTTCTGCGTCACTCCCTGGTCCTAATACCTTTGGGACACACTAAGAGGGGTCGGAATCAATCCAGCTCAGGGCTTCCTGGAAGGTGCTGAACACCCTTAACTCTTATTGACTTCAACGGGAGTTCAGGGCGCTCAGCCCCTGGCAGGATCGGAGCCTGACAGAGTAGCCACTAAGCGATCCAATGGCTCAAGTGGCAGTGAGCGAGCTAGTCCCCAAAAGGTGGGGATCTGCCGGGAGCGTCGCTGAGACTCACAGTGCAGCCAGTTCATTTTACATTTCATTGAACCGGCTGTAATTCGCCGGGCCAATGCCCCCGCTGCGTGCGCCAAGGTCATTAAAGTATGGGACACATTAATGTTGGGAAAAATGACCAGGCTGCGAAGAGGTTCCTGCCGCACTGATGTTAACACATGGTTCTACGTCACCTACTCAGGGTTACTACCCAGCTTGCTGTGCTTCCTGGTCCTGCCACACTAACAAGAGCTAAGTTTGTTAGTTTCCACTCATGAAGCTTATCCACAGGCTCCAACAGATCGGAGGGGGGAGGGGATACAGACTGCACTGGTAAATAATGTGGGGTCTATGGACCATTTTCATAGCTGTGTACACATAATTCAGATCAATATCATAGAGTCATAGACTAACAGGGTTGGAAGGGACCTCAGGAGGTCATCTAGTCCAACCCCTGCTCAAGCAGGACCAACCCCAGCTAAATCATCCCAGCCAGGGCTTTGTCAAGCCAGGCCTTAAAAACCCCTATGGAAGGAAATTCCACCACCTCCCTAGGGAACCCATTCCATTCCATATCTATTCATTTTGTTTCAAAATTTGCTTCTAGCAAATTTTCCAAAGGAAATGTTTTCCACTGGAAAATGCCGAGCCCGTTAAATGGAAACATTTTTTCGGGAATGTGTCGATTTTATCAGCATTTTTATGGGAAATGACCCAAACCTTTCATTTTGAGCTGAATGTTATGATAGGAGTGGATGGGTGAGATTCTGTGGCCTGCGTGGTGCAGGAGGTCAAACTAGATGATCATAATGGTCCCGTCTGACCTTAGTATCTATGATACTATAATTGCTAATATAATATAAAAGTTGAAATGGTTCTACTAATATATAATATGGTCAAAATGATAAAGGCAAGAGTTTGGAATAGTTCATTTTGTGTAAAATGAGGCGATATGGACGTTTGGTCCCTCTTTGGGGCTACATGAAATTTTGAAATCTCAGATTTTCCTGCAGTTGGGAATTGAGCAGCTCTGGTTTTTTGAGCAACGCTGCTCACCTCCTGGCCCAGGGGTGATGGCACCATAGCAACCTATGAAATAAAAATGGATAGAACCACGCTTTCAATGCGGCATCATCACATGGGATCTGCTAACCCTGCTCTGGGCTAGCATAGCATGCCTGGCAAGGCAAGGGTGGACCGTGCATTCTCCTTTGAGTTGCAAAAAAAGGCCCAGCCCAGATTCTGCACTGCGTACAACTGTTGGGGCCGCACCTCCAACACAGCGGGCGCCTAAAGCGAGCCTTAGGCTTCAGCGTACAAGGGCACAGCGCCAGTGGACTCCTGGGCCACCTCCCTCCCTGCTGCTGGTGCAGGAGGCATGGCCAGGGCTCCCTTATGTCTGACTGATCACCTGCTACTGCGGTGGGCAAACTTTTTGGCCCGAGGGCCACATTGGGGCGCGAAACTGTATGGCGGGCCAGGCAGAGAAGGCTGTGCCCCCCAAACAGCCTGATCCCTGCCCCCTATTTGCCCCTTCCCACTTGTCGTCCCCGACTGCCCCCTCCTGGGACCCCCGACCCAAACCGCCCCCGCCCAGGATCCCACCCCCTATCCAACCCTCCCTGTACCCTGACTGCCCCGACCTATCCACACCCCTGCCCCCTGACAGGCCCCCCAGGACTCCCATGCCCTAGCCAACCCCCCCGTTCCCCGACCCCTGACCACCGAGAACCTCCGCCCCATCTAACCACCCCCTGCTCCCTGTCCCCTGATTTCCCAACCCCACTACCGCCAGGCGTGCGCCGCTGCTGCCCCCTTACCATGCCGCTCAGAGTGGCAGGAGCTTGCAGCCCTGCTGCCCGCACGGCGGCGTGGCTGTGTGGGAGGGAGAATAGCGGGCGAGGGGCCGAGGGCGAGCCTCCAGGGCCAGGAGATCAGGGGCTGGGCAGGACGGTCCCGCCTCTAGTTTGCCCACCTCTGTGCTACTGTATCAGCCATCTGGCAGCTCTGTATGCCAGGAGACCGGCTCAGTTCACAACAGTCCCAGGGGTAGGGGAGTAGTGTCGCCTTCTAATGCACCGGGCACTTGTTGGCCCAGAAGGAGGATCGAGCCTGATGTGTTTCTCCTTTCAAGGCACTCCAGAATTAGTCAGTGTGCGTGGGGTCACGTATTTACACAAACACGTAAAAAAACCAGTCTCCCGGCTGCATTGCAAAATGCTCTTTCTTCGCGCCATAGGTTTGGATATCAGTAGCTAAACAGGAACTGTGGGTCTCCTCTTTTTATTTGCCTTTATTGGAAGGCTCCCTTCCTCCCCCCTCCCCCGCCACCCCAAAGGATCCAGCTCACGCTGCTGGGGAAAGCTGCCAGTGTTTGCTCGGTGTGCAACAAGCATCGATTCCTGCAAATACTGATGCATGTCATCAGGGTGAAACCTACGATGGCAGCTTTTCAGAGTGATAAAAGCAGAAGCCATGGGATTGACCCACGGTCCCTCAGTTTTCAGGCAAATTGGGCTGTGCATGTACATTTTAGAGAACTTTGTTAATTAAAGGCAGGTCATCTGGGTGTGTGTGGAGGGGCTTTATCTCAGGAGACCCTTGACTGCATGATCCCAACTTTGCACCCTAAAAGGTAATCTGCCTATGCATGTACATGCGGGAGTACTTTGAGACAGGTCACTTGGGAGGAGAATGTGTCTTGGGAGCCCGCCTGATCAAATGACCCCAAATTTACACCACAAACCGTACCCCAGGCCCTCTAACAGCACACCAAATTTTAAGATGATCTGAATGTGCCAGTTAGTTTTAGAGCACTGTAACCAACGGGCTTGAAACTGACATGCTCCGGTACTGGATCTGGATTGCAGCAGCCTGCATACCACTTTATGCAACCAGTCTAATAACTTTGGAAATATTGCAGTCAGTGGCTGGTTTTTGGTGTCGTTCACAAGATGAGATCAGGGGAAGTCTATTGATGTCAATTTATGTGGCTCCTGCATATATATACCTCTCATTACATCTCTGGTCATTAAGAACCAGAACATTTTAGAGGCTGGTCATTTTTGGGGTGGGGGGAGGGGGAGAAGGATATATCTGCTGATCCACTGCACCAAATGACCCCAAATTTTATCAGCAACTCTATTCCTGGCTCTCATGGGCACAGCAATTTTCAAGACATGTGCATTTTACAGCACTCTGAAAAACTGGCTCTGAAACAGAAAGCTTTGTTCAACCTTAACTATGCTATCACTTCTGCATAATCTAGCCCCAGCCTTTATCTCCTCTGAGTCCACAGGCTGACAGTGTTTGACAGATGGAGCAGTGTTTCCTTTTATTCGTGCCTGACTGTGGGGCACTTTTGCCTGGTGTTTCGATTGCCAGGCACAAAAGAGTCGGTTTTCATTGTACCCTCGGCGATTTCCAATCCTTGGTCCAGCTCCAGCTCTGCGCTTTCTCATCCTTCTTTATTCTCTTTCAAGCAGTATTCACCCTGAGCATCATCCTTATCTGGTGTGTTACACTAGAGACAGAGACGCTGTAGGATCAGCATTCTGCCGGGGAGTTACACTGTCACAGGAATACCAGATGGCCCAGTCACTAACTCAGGTCAGCTTGTTTGAGGGGAGAAATAGTCCTGAAGCTAAAAGAATCATGGGAGGGGACTGTTCTCTCCTAAATGTGAGGCCACCATGGGGCCTGCCCCCCAGCTGCTGTCACGATACAAGCCATTCTGTCCAATCCAGGATATTTTGGAGATTCCAGCCTAGCTCCACTGGGCCCTTAGTAACACTGATTGCAGCCCAAGGTGTCAGCATTCACAGGAAATGATACACCCCCGACCAGCCGGACATGGAAACCTGTGGGCCTGCTTCTATTTTACACTGATCTAATGCCATTCACTGCCTTCGCTGGGGTTCTTCCTGATGTACCCCAGTGTAAGAGAATGCAGAATCAGGCCCAAATGTACAGCCAAACCTGGCCCATGAATTGATCACAGCTCAGCCTAATTTACTTACAGTGGTTATCAGCATGACCCGGAAACAACCCCATGCTCCTCTTGTAGGCATCCTCATCTTCCGGGCTCATGTCTTCTGTCTCCCACTGGCTGGATACCTTGAAGAAGTTGCTACAGACTCCATAGGCGCAGCACTGGTAGGCATAGGGCACTTCTAGGATTCTAGGGAGGGGAAAAGCAGGTCTCTTAGCTACTTCATGTGGACTGTGTTGGAATTGCAAGCTATCGCTTGAAGAGAGAGGAGAGTTTCCTGCTTCTGCTTGCAGGCAATGGGGCTCTATAGCAAAGCCTGCAATGTGGATCAGTCTGGAAAGAGGCAGCTTAAAAGCCAGTTTGGGAGAGTTGTGCCTCGCTGTCTTAGGGAGCAGCCTGTTTTGGTTCTCTCTGCTTTTTGGATTCTTGTGTGTTATCGTTCTGAAGTCCAAGAAACAAAGTCATGTTACGTTGCAACCTTCCAGTGAGGTTTCTGTGTGTGTGTGTGTGTGCTGGGAATGTAACACTTCACTGCTCGTGAAACCCAGGGCCTGATTTCCCATTGCCCTACACTGGGTGCAAAACGCGACTAAACCAGGTTGGGGGCCTCTCTGCATCCTCTGCCCTGCTGTAAGTGACTCAGCCAGCACAGGGCAGGAGTAGGTGCGTGTCCGGTTCCTGACCCGGTTATTACACATGTCCAGGATCCAAAGTAGAAGTTAAAAGCAAGTATTTAACCTCACGGCACGCTGAGGAGCATTGTGACAACATGGCTAAGTGTCATGCGCGCACTCCCCATCTGCACCTTGCTTTACAAGTAATAGCTCATGACACCCCTTGTGAGACAGATGGATGAGCATGCGCCTATGCGTATGTGTCTTGGGGGGATGTATTTTTACCCTTTGTGCCGACTGTTTTGAAGGTGCACAAACTACAGAGCAGCCCTCAGGCAGTCTGCTACGAGAGCACCTCACACTGTGGCTTAGTTTCAGAGGAACAGCCGGGTTCGTCTGTATCCGCAAAAAGAACAGGAGGACGTGTGGCACCTTAGAGACTAACCCATTTATTTGAGCATGAGCTGAGTGACCTTCCAGCAGGTGGAGTAGCTCATTCTCCTGAAAATGCCACTTAGGATCCCAGTCCTCAGGCCAGGCCTCCGCCTTTTACTGCTCTCAGCCCACAGCGTGCCTCCCTTTGGAAAGTAGCTAGATGCTCAGCTCCCATAACAGCCCCTAGATGATTCCCCAGTGCTACTGCACCTGCCCAGGCTCTTGAGAACATTGCGTGTGCACCTCACTTAGGCGGAGGCATCGAGAGGGTAGCTCTCCAGCATGGTGATGGACTCACAAAAAACTCTGAGTGTGAGGGGGGACTCGGGCACAGGGGTTAGATTAGAATCAGAAGTTGGGGATACCCCCGCTAGCTCTGCCAGCCCGATGGCTCTGGGCCACGCTCTGCCAGCCTACTCAAGGAAGCCTGGCTATGTTTCTCGAATTCACCAAGATACCTGAATGCAGCTGGCTGCTAATCAGAAGCAGGGCCAGTAATTCCATCCTGTATTACAAGGTCAATTAAACCGCAGCTGAATATCATCAGGGTTAAATATCAGGGCTATCAGGCTGAAACAGCATTTTCACCACTGACAGCAAATGCCTGCTTCATTTCTGGAAGCCAGTAAAGCCTGGCAATCCAAGTGAGGCAGCCGTCAGTTTTTCAGGCAGTTAAGGTCTTTTGACAGGATTAGTAAATCTGGGGAAACTCTATAGTCTAAAAGTATGGTTTTGTTTTAAGTTACCAAACATTTCTGGCCGAGCCCTGGGAGGTGATGGGAACTCTGTATACAGATCTGCTTCCTGTTGTAAACTCCAGATTAAATCCTATTACCAAAAGGTGGTAAGAAAGTGAAGATCCTTAGGAGGTGGCTAAGAACTGTTTCCAGATGCCCCCATCAGAAAGGGCAGCAATTAGGACTGAAACTGTCTCTCTAGCACCAGCAAGCTGATGTTTTGGAAGGACCAGTAGGTGCACAGGCTGAGTCTGACTCCAAGGCCCACCCTCCCCATGTCAGTTACTCTGATGTAAATCCAAACCAGCTAAATGGACATCACTAGGGTTAGTCTGGATTCACACCACTGCAAGGGAGAGCTGAATTTGGCCTGATGTCACTGCATTGTATTCGCCTGCATGTCAGGGCTTATCCCCACCAATCCCTCAGCTGTTAACACCAACATTGTTAAAAAGGGCCTCTGATGCTGGCAGCCTCCATTTTTGGAAGCCCAACTTGAGACACTCTGGGCCTGATTTGCACAGGTGCCGAGACCCCACGGTTCCAGCTGGAGTCAGTGGGAACCTTGGGGCATACACCACCTCTGAAAACCACCCCACAGTGAGGACTCCCCAAATCAGAGGCCACTTTTGAAAAATGCTCCGAGTCAGGGTATGAACGTGGCTCATGCACTATCCACAAAAAGAACAGGAGGACTTGTGGCACCTTAGAGACCAACCAATTTATTTGAGCATCAGCTTTCGTGAGCTACAGCTCACTTCATCGGCTCACGAAAGCTCATGCTCAAATAAATTTGTTCGTCTCTAAGGTGCCACAAGTCCTCCTGTTCTTTCTGCGAATACAGACTAACACGGCTGCTCCTCTGAAACCTGCAATAGCCACAGCTCACTGCGCACCAGACAAGGGGACGGCGCTAAGAGCTCACTGCTAACACAGGTGCTGAGGCTCGCCACAAAGCCGGCATTCCCAGTGCAGAGGTGGCCTCTGTGCCATAGATTCATAGATATTAAGGTCAGAAGGGACCATTATGATCATCTATGCAGCATTGTCTTGTTTAGCGGCTTAATGTGACTTCCTTCGGGCAGCTCATTAATCCATAGCAGACAAGACACGGCCACACAAACAGCATTTACTGAAGGAAAGCTGGATGTCATTAGCTAGGACTGGCTTCTGAGAATGTTTTCCGTTCAGAGATGCCGCAGGCTCATGCTCCTTGCTTCATGAGCTCCGCTTGTGTGTGTGTGTTTGGCGGATGTGAGCAATGGGACGTTAAGCGGAACATCAGTTTCCCACGGAAGGCTTGGAAGGATGGATGCGGAGTGTTAGCAAGAAACCGGGCTTTCTCAACCTGCCGGCCAGGAGGAATGGCAGGAAAATGTCCAGTAAACAAGGAGAGCAGGCGTCTGATTGAAATAAACAAATAAAGGCCCATTGGCGAGACCCACTTGGAGCTCGGAGGATAAAGGTGAACCGGGCACCCAGAGCAAAACCGTACCTCATCTTAGGGAAGCTTTCTTTGCTGAAGGGCTCAGACAGCGCTGGGTTGCCTTGGAGCTTCAGATGGGTCAGTCCACCCAAACCATCCAGCGGCAGGGTGACCAGCTGGTTGTTGGTCAAATCTCTGTTGTAGTGAAAGGAAGGAAGAGCAGCAGGATTAGGGTTTTGCTGATCAGAGGTGTGTTAACCGAGAGAGGCTAGACAGCTTGGCAGATGGCCCATGGTCATCTTGACCTGGTGGATGTCCAAAATTTGATACAGAAATGGAGAGGGCAGGAAGTGTTGCTGGGCGCTGACTGGGGGCCAGTCCCAATTTGGGGATGAATGAAAAGATACAGCAATCATTAGGGGAGTGCCATCTCCAGGGGTGCTGGAATGGGGGGGCTGAGGGGCCATGGCTCTCCCACTTGTTGAAAGTGGACAGGCCTGGGCCGTCCCCTTTTCGCCACGGGCCCTGCCCCTGCCCCTCCTCTTCCCCCTGAGGCCCTGCCCCCCCGCCAGGCCAGAAGCTGGAGCCAGGTCGGGGTAAGAGCTGTGTGGGCAGCTGTGGCAAGCTGTGGACCCTCCACCTGCCCTGGTTGGGAGAGCTGGGGGGCGGGGATATGGGCCAGGGGCTGCTCCCAGGCCCCCCCATCCCAGGCAAGTGGAGAGGCCCGGGCTTCTCGGTTCAGCTCCAGCTTCTGGCTTGGCCAGGGGGCGGGGCCACAGAGGGGGCGGGGCCTTGTTGCCTCCCGCTATTACAAAGACTCTGTCGCTGCTGGCCATCGCTGTAAACTCTACTTCGGTTTTCTGCCTTGCTCTCGTAATCACGGGATTAGAATGTCCTGATCTGCTCCCTCACTCCCACCATCCGTCATGCCCCATTTTCTTGAGGTCTTTTAAAATCAGCCGATTTTCTGGGCTTAGGTCTTGGAAGGCCAATTAGTGGGGCAAAGCACTGTCTCTGCAATTTTCCACATGGCATCAAAAGTAGGGTCTTATCCCTGATTGCAATCACGTACGCAGCTTGCTGACGCCTGCCCATTCATTAGCTTTGGCGATTTGTTCATCCCTTATCAGCTACAGCATAGACAGCCGCAGCCCAAGTGTACTCATCCTGCCCTGCTAACGTGCCTCAGTCCTGACCTAGGGTAAGACTTTGCTTCAGCTCTCTAGTGCAGGGGTCAGAGCGTGTCCCAGTCAAACTCAGCCCTTGGCTCCCAGCAATTCTGGGGACTGGATACCTGTCCGTTAGCAACAGAGACCAATGGATCCTGGCACGTAAACTACTGAATGGTCACCAGACGATGATGACTCTGAATCGATACCCATCCCCTGCTACGTTTAAACTGGCGAGCCAGGGCTAGCTTCACGGCAGGATCATGGCAGGGAAGAAGGCCGGCTATGAAGAGGAAGGCCCCAGATCCTCAAAGGTATTTAGGATCCTAACTCCCATCGAAAGCAACCCTTGAGGAGCGGGGCCTAAGACCCGTGTTGATATAGCATCCACTCTGCTCATTAGCAAAAGGCATCTAGGGAAAATATGGACCCCATGGGAGGTAAATGGGCAGGGACCTTGAGGGTTTATACCTATCTCTGCAGCATGGGGTGCGGGTCACTTGCTATGATCATCTGAGTGTCTCACCAAATCCAATCCCTGCCACTGTAGGCCTTGGGCACTGGTGAACCTTGGTCCCTCCTGTTCTCTGCCCGTGGCATGTAACAGTTTAGTCCCCTGAGGGCAGTAATGCCTTGTTTTAATTCTGGTTGTGGAGCTTGGGGTGGAGGCGGCTGGGTGGTGTTTAAGGGTGTGTGATTCACAGGTCAGACTGGATGATCTGTGTGTCCCTTCCAGCCTTAAACTCTGTGACTCTTTCTGTAGCTTCAAGATTTCACTTGAGAGGCACTCTCAGTTGCATGTGTTTGCATTACTCGACAGCCATCATGCGGGGCCCACTGAGCCATCCTGTCTGCCAGTCTGTCTGTGTAGGCATTTATACCACACTCATCACTGGTGTGTGTGAGCATCTTTGCCCGGCCCCACTTTCTGCGAGGGAACCTGAGAAATTGTTGCAATTATGTTGCACAAAATTATGCAATTTCACAACTGCACTTTCCTTGTCCCACTGCAGGAGTAATCTCGAAGCAACTTACAGCTTGGTGAGCGAGCGCAGGGTCGCAAAGGCCTCTGGATGAATCGACTGGATGTAATTCCAACTCAGGTCTCTGCAAAGCAAGTACCTGGCGGTGAGGGTGGCTGAGGAGAATGGTGGGGTGCCTGTGAATGGGGAAGCTATCGAGATTGGTAGGCCAAGATGTGAAACGCAGCCACTACCCATCCAAATCTCAATGTCCAAGCTCCCCTGGTTCTCACCACGCTCTGGGGAGACCTCTCTCTTACTGAGGAAGGCCAAATTCTCATCAGCCCTGAACGGATCCCCAGTAAAACCTTCTGAGTCCCCTCCACTGGCGTGTGTGTTCTCCTGATGAAGTGAGCTGTGGCTCACGAAAGCTCATGCTCAAATAAATTGGTTAGTCTCTAAGGTGCCACAAGTACTCCTTTTCTTTTTGTGAATACAGACTAACACGGCTGTTCCTCTGAAACTTTTCTCTCCCATGTCCCTTCTTCCCTCCCCCCATCCTCCCCCAGGCTGCTGGGACTCTGGGCGTTATCATTGACTGTCCCGGGCTCTCTCTTACGGGGAAGCCATCCAAAATCAAGCTAGGCTAGATCCGTACCCCCTGGAGTTTTGGAATCCAGCTCTGTTAGCGCAAAGGCTGCACAGCCCCTGTCAAGGCACAAGTTGGCTGGCCCCTGAGGAAAGATTCCCCTTGGGTTTCTTTCTGCAAGTTTGGGGACTTTTGCATTGAAATACTAAACTCCGAGGTACTGACAGTTCATGGCTTCCCCATAGTGCCAAAGCAGCAGGCTACTGGCCCAGATACCCTCTGCTCCCGGTACAGTGACACTGCAGGGAGGCTCCCAGGAATGGGCAAGCAGGGCCAGAATCTGTAGGGATTGGGTGTGCAAGTGTGTGTGAAGTGCTGGTGTGTACGCATTAGCATGCATGGTGCGAATGGATGTGGTTAGGGGGCAGTTGTGTGTCCATGTGAGTTTGTGCGTGTGTAGTTGGTACACGCGGGACATAGTGAGTGAATGTGTGTGGTGTACAGCATCTGTGTGCAGCTGGTAGGTGTAGTCAGTAGTGCGTAAGTGTGCGTGGTTAGAAGGTGTGAGGTGTAGCGTCTGTGCGTTTGTGTAGTTAGTACAGGTGTGGCATAGCGTGCGTGTGTTTGTGTGTGGTTAGCATGCGAGGTGTGTATATGTTTCTGTGGGGTTAATATGTGCGGTTAGTGTACGTGATGTGTGTACGGGGGGGGTCTGTGTGTTCGTGGTGCACACATGCACATATCAGAGTGTGTGTTTTCTGCACCGTGCTGCATCCACTTCCACGCACGGCCATGAGCTGCAGCCAGCCGCTGCCAGAGCCAGCGCAGTCCATGAGTTCTCTGCCCCGCGGCCCCTCGCTTCCCCTGGGCACCCAGGAACCTAGCAGTGCAAGCAAAGCTTTCAGGGCTGGGACTGCATGAGCACCTTGCACAAACCTGGCAGTGAGCCCACGGTTCCTCTCCCCCCCAACAAAGAGCCCCGCGGTTCCCAGTGCCGGCGGAGCCGGAGCCGGACTCACATGGAGCGGAGGGCCACGAGCTGCCCGAAGGTGTCTGCTCTGATTTCATGGATCCTGTTGTGCTGGAGGCCTCTGAAAAGAGAGAGGCTGGCATGAGAGAGAGGATCTCTCTGGGCCCCCGGCAGCAGAAGAAAGCTTGTCAACCCTGCTCTTATTTCAAGGGGTGAGCGGGTCAGGACACAAAGCAACCCAAACCCAGCCCTCTCCCAAGCGCCTCACTGGGTGTCAGACAGCGCTCCCTTTCACGCACCCCCCCTCCACCGCACAGCAAAAGAACCGTCTGTCTGGACTTGTCAAAGGCTCTCGCGTTCTCAGCCTTTCCAAGCTGCTGCTCCCATTCCATGCGCCATCCCACCATGGAGCTTGGGTGCTCCACAGCCATGCAAAGCTTGGAGGTGGTGAGTCAGGACGCGCGCCCCAAATGTCAGCCTCTTTGCTATAGGGCTGGACAGTGACTGACCCTAGCGTGAGAGAGTGAGTGTGTGTGTGTGTGTTCACACACACGTGCAAGGAGCAGATGCAATCCAGCCCTTCGCAAAGAGCCATTCAGAGGTGCGCGCGTTGACCCACCATCTCCAAATCCCATACTTTGCACCCTCTTTAAGTCTCAGCCAAGTGCCACGTGCAATCCCTGTCCCTGCACTCTCCTGAATGCAGAGACCACGTCTCTCTGGCAACCCAGGGCACAAGCCACCCAAGGGGGTGGGAAGGAATCAGGGCCAGGGCTGGAGCCACGCTGCATCGGCTTATGGAACCATACACTCCCATGCACTCCGTGAGGTGCGATCCTTCACAGAGCGCTTTTCTGCACTGCCCACAATACCAGCTAGTATTCGCAGCCCAGGCTGTCTCTAAGTCACACATTCAGAAAGGCCAGAGGAGCCATTCTGAGCATTTGCTCTGACCTGCTGCCTAATGCATATCAGAGAACCTCACCCAGGGATCCCTGCATCCAGCCCATAACTTGTGGTTGAGCTAGAGCAGTTTCTAGGTAGAGACACCCCATCTTGCTGTAAAGGCTCCAGCTGATGAAGACTGCACCACGCCCCCTAAGGGGACTCTGGGCTTCTCAAGCAATACCACCTGTCCTGCTGTGAGCGGTGAGTGGGTGTCCTATCTTCCCTTCCTCTTGCCTACTGAAACACATTCAAGCATCTCATCTTCAGCTGTAATGCTTTGTAGGACTCACCCTCAGCCCTCATGTCTGCCTGCTCCCCTGCCAGGTCTCTGTGCTGTTCCTGAGCATCTCTTGGTTCAGGCTGTCTGCAGACTCAGGCAGACCCCATGACATCAATTACACTCAGTTTCTATTTTCAAGGTTTTCTCCCCAACCATAAAGGCTAGACACATATCATTGTAAACAAAAGGTCCAATTGCGGAGCACAGCTCCGTGGCAAGTGGGTGCATTCCACAGCCAGTTCTGCAGCTGTAGAATCGCAGGACACCTGGGCCCAAGGCACAGTCAATGGGATATAGGTACCTAACTTGCTTAGGCGCTTTTGAAAATCCAAACCTTAGCTACCATGGTGATAGGGGTCCTATTAATGCCATCAGCTGGAATAGATCAGGGGATGCTCAGACGGGGAATTAAACTTTGTATGAAGGTAAAGCAGAGCTCAATGCAATCAAGCCCTTCTTTCTCCTCTTGGGGCTGGGATCTCTCCAGAGAAAGCTCCTTGTGGGGTAAGTTCTTTGGGGCAGGGAGCAGCTCCTTGTTCTATGTTTGTACAGCCCCTAGCACAACGGGCCTTGGTCCATGGCTGGGGCGACTATTCCACATAATAATACAAATTCTCAGTGCTTCCTGGATGGTGCTGGGCCCTTAGCACAGCCTCTCTCTTGCTTATTTCAGGGGATCTGGGTCCAGTGAACTGAACTTTTTACCCCCAGCATGGATTTGAGTCCTGGCAAAAGCCCGGCTGAGTTTTTATCTCCTTGGAACTGGATCTCCCAAGCCTTGCTCAGTCCCTCCTCAGAGCTAGGATCACCTCACTATCACCAAGAGGGCCCCTGTCCCCGAACCAAGCTTTGAATGAAGGAATCTCTTGACTCACATTTCTTCCAGCTGCTGGCACCTGTGGAAACTGGGCAGCTCCTCGATTTGATTGTGCGAGAGTTCGCTGTGGGAAAGGAATGCCACAGACATGGCAGGAGATTAAGAGCAAAGCAAGCCATCCTGAGAGCATTCTTGGAAAGTAGATATTGCGAAGGAGGGGAGTGGACTGACCTCGGGCCGTGCAGCTGGGGAAAGCAGGAAACCCCAGCACAGAGGCATATCCGCTCAGCGCACACCTGACACTTGGCACTGATTTCCTCGTTCATTTCCTTGCATTATGCATGGATTGCTCAATGGCTCACCGGCTAACCCAGCCCCAGCACAGCTCCATCAATCCCAGCCACATGCGAGCCACTTCTACCGCTGGGGATTGGCTTCTCTTGAGGGGAAGGGCTGCGCAGCTCTCCCCACCCAGCCCCCGCCACAGGGACTTGTGCATGTCAAGGCTCCCCTCCTGCCCCTGTGGATGGCTGAGCACTGCAGATGCACTTTCAGAGGCCAGGAGACATGTTAGCTCACAGGGTAGTCGGGCTTTCTCCTCCCTGGCACTGCACGTGCAACGAGCTGCACCATCGGCCTGATCCTGGTGTTTAGCCCTTCTCTTGGAAGACGCCATGTTCAGTGTTTCATTACAGCCAGTGCAGGATGTTCCTGCCTGTCAGCTGCAGCTCCCCCATCCGGGGGGGGGTTAAAACATGACCCCCCCCCAAGTCCTTGCTGTGCCATCTGTGCCCCACACTGCACCAGTGAGCAAGCGTTTGTCCACAACTTTGGGGGGAGGGATAGCTCAGTGGTTTGAGGATGGGCCTGCTAAACCCAGGCTTGTGAGTTCAATCCCTGAGGGGGCCATTTAGGGATCTGCAGCAAAAATGGGGATTGGTCCTGCTTTGAGCAGGGGGTTGGACTAGATACCTCCTGAGGTCCCTTTCAACCCTGATATTCTATAAACCTCCCACCCCCCCGCACAACTGTTAGTCCTTATACTTTGTATTTCTATGGCACCATCCAGCCCAGAATCTTAAAGCACTTTACAAACATTAACTATGCCTCCTGTGAGCTACTGTCCCCACTGTACAGGTGGGGAAACTGAGGCATAGAGTGATGAAGTGACTTGCCCAGGGATGTACAGTCAGTGACAGAGCCAGGCACAAAGTCCCTGAGTCCTGACTCCTAGCAGGTTCAATTCTTACTTCAGCCACAGGCTTCCAGTGTGACCTTGGGGCAGTCCTAGAATCATAGAATCATAGAATATCAAGGTTGGAAGGGACCTCAGGAGGTCATCTAGTCCCACCCCCTGCTCAAAGCAGGACCAACCCCAACTAAATCATCCCAGCCAGGGCTTTGTCAAGCCTGACCTTAAAAACCTCTAAGGAAGAAGATTCCACCACCTCCCTAAGGAACCCATTCCAGTGCTTCACCACCCTCCAACTGAAAAAGTTTTCCTAAAGAGTCACTTAGATGGGGCCTCAGTTCCCGATCTGTACAATGGGGCTAATACCGCTGTCCTGCGTCACAGGGATGTGTGACGATAAATACATTAAAGATTGTGAGGTGCTCAGATACCACGGCGATGGGGGCCAGAGAAGTACCTTAGAGAGAGATCTAGTCTCCTGCTTTAACCACTAGACAACGCTACCACGCCACACAGACATTGACCCTTGCTTTTGCCTGACCTGCGATCACTATAAAAAAGGTATATTTTTAACAGCCATTCTGTCTCCCATCAATAATGAATCGAATTAACGCTCTCAGGCCGAGAAAAGGCACAAGGGAAAATATGAGAGAAAGAGGCAAAACCATCCAGTTCACAGAGGAGAGGAAAGCATGACTGGTAAAGCAGGTCAAAAAAATTCCATCCAAACAGTTTTTCAACTGAAAGTGCGGTTTTGACTAAATGAAAATTTTCACAAAAAGTCTCTGCTTTCCATGGACAGTTTGGAACCCTTTTTTAAAAAAAAAAAAAAATCCCCAAATACCCGAAGACTGAAACAATTTGGCCAAAACCTAATTTTTTTGATTCCGAATTGCTACCCCGGTGCCTCCTGGAAGTTTGAGGTCAATTGCCTGATGCTCCCATTCTCCTCTGTGATCTGTGTTCCCTTGCCAGACTAGGTCTCCCGGAGTTCACCCTAGCCAGGGTCTCCCAGGATACACCACAGCGGCTCAACAAGAAAGGAGACCAGGGTGCATCATGGAAAATGTAGTCTGGCCGAAGAGACCGGCCCATAGAGGAGAACAGCATCAGCACTACAATCCCATGTGGCACCTTGGCAGCATTTCCAAATCAAATTTTAATTATTTTTTTTTGTCAACCTTTTTTCCACTGAATATGTTCAGTTTTCAATTTTTTTTGCCAAAAAGTTGACATTTTCCATGGGGAAAAAACCCCCCACTTTCCAACCAGCTCTGGTGATCGCATCAGGAAAGACTTAGGGACAGATCCCCCTCTCATGGACACCAGTGTCACACTGTTGCTGGGGTCACTTCTGATTTACACCAGGTAAGCGAGAGGTGACTCAGGCCCAGACACCCTTAATCAGTGGTGCACTGCAGGCACACAGGGGGAGGCCTTGCTCCGCCAGGCGTTGTGGCTTGTGGGGCTCAGAGACCTGGGTTTGTTTGGTGCAATGCCTTGGGCAAAGCGGGTAGGATTCCCCCCAGCCCTGCAGTTGGTGTGCCATTGGCACCTGGGCAAAGCAGGGGCAAGACATGGCCATGCTGACTTGGTAGCACTTCGCACCCGCTCCACTCCGCCCTGACACTGTGGCGAATAGCACACAAAGCTGCCGAGCAGAGAGAAGTCAATCCCAGCGGGTGTCTTATTAGCTAATGTCCCGGAGCCCAGAGCTGCCCCACTGGGCGCTGTGCTGGGATCAGACAAGCAAACCAAAGAATGGGGCAGTGAAATCCGGTGGAGAAGCGCGTGAGTTACTCACAGGACTCGGAGGCTGGGCAGCTGCTGGCACATTCCTCTGGGAAGCAAACGGATCCCTGCCCGGGTCAAGGTCCTGGGGGCGTGAAGGAGACAGAAGGGGCGACTGAGAAGCTGGCATGCAGAGAGCCCAGCCCTCGCTGAGGGAGGACAGAGCAAATGAAAGAGCAAAGCACATGGTGAGAAATTAAAGGTGACTTGGTAAGAGGGAGGAAGGACCCTGCACTGGGCTGGGGGAAGGGAGGGACAAGTTCAACATGCCCCATGGCTCACGGATTGCTTGGTTCTACACCTAATCTGCCAATGGGCTTCTCCTTGGAGACTGTGGAAGGGGAATGTGCTGGTCCCACAGACATCCCCAGAGCACCCTCCATCCGGGGATCAGGGCTGTGCTCTGCCACTGGGGTTGGTAGTGGGGGAATCTGAGGCCCTGCGGAAACGGTGGGAGGTTCTGCAGTGTCAGCAGGGTCTCTGTCCGTGGAGCTCTCCGATCTGCCGCAGACCCCCCTTCCCCGGGGGAATGACGTGGTAGCACTGGGACTGAACGGTTGGTGCGGGATATGATTTCTGGAGGACCATGTGCGTAGCTGGCTTCACAGACCAAGTCGGGGGGAGGTAGCGAGCCAGAGACCACAGTGGCAAAGAGACACGTGGAGGGCAAAGGTGGGGGACTCCAGGAGGAGCTATGGGGAGCAGCCGCAGAGAGGAGCCTCCAGGATAGGCAGTGGAGTTTCCCGTGGCGTCTAAGACCCTGCACTGCAGAGCTTGGTAAACGCTCTCTCCTCCAAGCCCGTGCCCAAGCCCGGAAGGAACATCACGAGGAACGTGGAAGAGGGCGACTTGCCACTCACAGAATTTCGAGGCTGGTGGTTCCTTTAAGGTCTGGGAATTCTCTGATGTCTGTTGCTCCGTTCAGTGACCTGCAGAGAAGGATGGACAAGCTCAGGGGGGGTCGTATGGAAGATGGGCAGAGCAAACTGGAAGGAGCGAGGGCAGGTGCTGGAGCTTCCGAATCCCCCCTTCTCCCAAAAGCTTTGGCAGCTGACAAGCGGTGGCCCAAGCCTAGCTAGGAAGGTGGGAAGCACTGCCATGCCGGACGACACCTCTCCCAGGAGCGTGTCACTGCTGGCTGGGGTGTGGAGCAGGGAACAGATGCATTGAACCAGGGACTCGGGCGTTTACCCCCCAGGAAACTTGGCAGGGTCCCACCCACCCCCTCCAAACCCTGACATTCTTGGCAAATTGCTTCCAACAACAACAAAATGATGGTAGGGGATCGCCTCCAAGCTCCCCGGTGCCTTTATCCCAGGGAGCTAAAGAACGCTGCGTGGTTCTTGTTAGAAGTTATTTTATTAGCTGGAGCATATAACTATGCACCCAGTGGCTTTATGAGGCTTGTAAAGAGAGCACGTCTGAGGTTACCTCTGCCACGGGTCCATCTGCCGTGCACCAACTGAGGAGGACTGGCTGCAAAACACCCCATGTGCAGGCCTGGCTGGTCAAGAAGATGCACCACACAATGGCAAGTGGCGCCAGAGGAGATGCAGGCTAATGCCTGTCCGTGCATTTCCAGTTGTGACACACTGCTATGGCAATGCATTACTGTGTGTCTGTTCTGTGAGCCGCTGTCCCCGTGAAGCCTCTGCCTGGCAGCATGGTATTGCCAGGGCCGGGCAGCGCTGCACAGTGGTGTGAGACTCGGCGCACGGAGAATGCAGCAAGTTAAGGAGCATCTGCAGCTCAAGCGGGGCCGTGGCAGGAAGCACACCGATGTCTGGTGAGTGGGATGGTTCTCCAGAGAGGTGCAGAGACACCGCAGAGTCCTGGGGGGCTAGCACCCAGGCCCTGCCATGCTTGCAGGAGGCCCCTCTCAGAACGGTTGCTCTGAGTGACTGTGGACACCTGGGTCATTAACATGGGCCATGCAGAGCTCTGCCAAGATCCCCTGGTGAAGGTACTTCCAGACACGAGGGCTTGGACAGCAAAGGGGGATGGAAGACGCTTAGTCTGCTGGCCCCGGAAGCTTGGATTGCCAGTTGCATTACCTCTCTAAGGACCTGAGTGATGAACTTACAGAGTGTGCAGCTTTGACAAGAACTGGAATGCGGACTGTCCAACAAACTGGATGGGATTGTCATAAAAATGGCTGCAAAGGAGACAAATACCCAGCTTAGGTTACCCTGTGCGGACTGGAGGACATGCTAGCATTAGTCCAAAGCAGCGGAAGCGACTAGGAATGAGCTATGCAAGAGATTCTGGCATCCTCATGGTGAGCCCACCTGCTCCAGATCATTCCTGCCTATGCTACAGGCTCCAACCCAGGCTGGGCATTGAAGGGAGGCCCCGGGGTAAGCGCTCTGCAGCCCTGGCTTTGCCTGCTGGGCTGCAGGTGCCTCCATGAAGTCCCATCACTGCTCTGAGCCACGACTGGAAGGTGCATGGCGCAATGGAGCTGCTCCCCTGTTAAATCAAACTGCTGCGCGTGCCGCGTAGAACGGGGCTGAGGGTCGCGTTGTTTGGCTCTGATTGTATTTTCCCATCCCTCAGAGCGGAGCAGTGCCCCGTGTCACCCGCTGTCCCCTCCACCGCCAGAAGGTGGGATTCCCCCGTGTGACGTACAGCATCAGCCTGTCAGAGCTTCCACCAATTCATCGCCAAAAGTGGGATGGGGAAACCAGAGGGAGGAAGTGCCTGGAAAACCTGCAGGGTAGGACAGGAGTGGTGCCGGCAGCCCTCTGCATCTACAAACGTAGATGTCACCGTACTGGTCGGTGGTGATCGTGGCCTGCTGAACTGGCTTGGCTCAGCTCTCCCTAGCCGCGTCCCAGGCTCGCAGCTACAGCTATTACAAACAAGTTCCAAGCATGGGCTCTAAGCATCACCGTGGGCTAACATCTGGGCAGGCATGGAGAAACCCCTCCACCGCTGTGTGTTACACACAGCAATACCACTGCTGTATAAATGATCTGTTCATCTCTCCGCCGCTCTAAGGGCTTCATGTGAGACTGGAGCCATCAGAGCTGGGGTTGGTGGGACACATGGGAAAAAGAGGGGGTCAGAGGACAGGAGGGAGGGGGAGGCATAGCTCAGTGGTTTGAGCATTGGCCTGCTAAACCCAGGGTTGTGAGCTCAGTCCTTGAGGGGGCCATTTAGGGATCTGGGGCAAAAATTGGGGACTGGTCCTGCTTTGAGCAGGGGGTTGGACTACATGACCTCCTGAGGTCTCTTCCAACCCTGATATTCTATGAGGGGAAGAACTAAGAGACAAACCTTCATCTTACATTAGGGTCCTTCTTTCATCACATCCCACCCTCCGCAGCACATGCATGTCAGATTACGACCCTAGGAAATGATGGAGATCCCCTGTATAGAATGAAGTAGGAAAGCTGGTTCACATTGCTTACATGGTTTGGAGTAAAGGATTCCCAACAAATGCCTTCTCTGGAATAGCCTTTATGTTGTTGTTATGGAAGCCCCTGTTGGAAGAGAAAGGCCAGGATGTGACTGGGTCAGAAGATGGGAAAGGAAAACCCCTTAAAAGAGGTAGAGGATTTGAAACACAGAGGGGATGCACAGAGTTATAGATTCTGAGGCCAGAAGGGACCATTGCGATCATCTCACCTGACATAGGTCAGAGAACGTCCCTACTATGATCCCTAGAGCAGAGCTTTTAGAAAGACACCCCACCTCGATTTAAAAATGGCCGCTGATGGAGACTCCACCATGACCCTTAGGATGGGGTCAGAGCCTTAGACGTGGTCCATACTTAAAATTAGATTGACCTCACTCTGCCGCTCAGGGCTGTGCAAAATTTTGCACCGAGTGCTGGTTGTGTAGCCGCGGCTAGCTGATGGAAGAATTCTGTCAGCTGAGCTACCCCCTTCTCGGGGAGGGGGACTAGCTCCATCAAGGGAAAACCCCTTCTGTTAACGCAGGGTGCTCCAGGGGCCCATCTGTAGCGCAGACTCACCCGTAGACTCTGTCTCACCCGTAATGCTACTGAAACGAATGTAGAAGGCGCATCATCGACTGCCCTGCTCCATCAGACCTGTGGCCTGGTTGGCCTAGCCCTGCTCAGGTTGAGTAGCATGGCCTGCCAGGAATAGCACCACTGAAGACAGTGGGATTACTCCTGGATCAAGGGGGCTGTTAAATATAGGGAAGAGTGTCCGATTCTGGGAGCACAATGAAAGGAATGGGCCCATTTTATGCCACCTTACCTAGCCAAGGATTTTAGGTTCTTTAAAAAGTCTCACCATTACGTCTGCCCAACTTTTAACTACGTTTGCAGCCTGTTCGTGGGACGGCTGGCTTGATGCAGGGCTGGCCATAGCACTTCCTGGCCATGCCCAGGAAATGGTTTGCCTCCCACCTTGTCACAGATTGGATCAAGCCCAGGAAAGACCCCTGTGATCCTCCGCTCTGCCCTCCGGCTTAACGCAAGCCAGAGACGCCCACCCAAGGAGTCCTGCGCTGAGCCCAGCGTTGTGTGGCGGAGCTAGAGCAGATCATCGAGAGGGAAACAGCCCCTGAGCGATGGTCAATCCACACATCCCTCGGGAACCCGTTTCAATGGTTAATTCCCCCTAGGTGCCTCTTGTTTCCACTCTGATTTCAGCTTCCAGCTGTTGGCTTCAGCTCTGCCTTTAGGTCTACTATGAGCGATCTTCTTCCTACCCAGGGACTTCTTCTTCCTCCGGCCAAGCAAAAAACCCTCTGTCTCCCACCCAACCCCTCCTCAAAATACTAACGGGGCTGCCTCTTGTCCCCATGCCCGCACTCTACATCACCACGAATGAGCAGCACAGCCTCAGGGTCGATAAATAACCAGGGAGCCCCAGCTCCCTGCAAAATGGGCTTGTCCCTGTCTCAGGGCCCATCCCTGGCACTTGCATGGACAATAGTTCTGCGCCCTTGTGGAGCCACTGACCAGCTAAGCTGGTGACCCTGCCAGCAGGCTGGGTTGAGCGCATACACTCCCCTTGTCCTGCCGGCCAGTGATGTGGCCACCATGGCCTCCCTGAAGCCACTCAGCGAGCAGCCCCTCTCGCCGGCTCTCCCGCACATTGGCAGGTATATGTGCAGATAGTGAGTCTGGGCATGGGTGTGACTGGTGCGGCCGAGAGGGGGCTGGCATAGCAGAGGGGCACTAGACTGTCGCAGGGGAAGACAAAGAACGGAGCGGGCGACATAGAGCAGGAGTAGGCGTGGCAGGAGGAGAGTGGGGGTGGAAGGTGCTTGGGGTAAGAGGGAGGAGAAAGGGAGGAAAAGGAAAAAAGGGCACAATCTCACAGATCACGCTAACGGTAGGAACAGGCCGCCGCACCCTGCCACGGCTCTCGGCAGCCAAAGGTCGCTCCCAGGCCTGGTGCTGAGAGGGGCAGACACAAACGTGTGACAGGCTACACAGGCGAGGCGTGTGTCCAAACAGCACAGGAAGGACCCTTGTTGTATGTTAATCGGGGATGGGCCATATTGATCCTTTCCCCGGATCCGCCAGTCGGAGGGGAGCAAGCCACGAGAAGGGTCCCATGTGCGGTGTAGACACCCAGAGTCTGTGGGTGCTAGAGGAGGCTGTAGGTGCTGCTGGGGCTGAGAATAGCAGCTACCACAGGGGGTTGCCTTATAAACACCAGGCTAACTCCACGGGTACGCTGCCTCTATGGGCCCGATCCTGGAGGTGGACGTCAGTGAGAGTTGGGGCTCTAAACAAGTCTCAGTGGGTGAGTTGCACAGTGGGGGAGGGACTGGGGGGGGTCAGTCACAACAGCTTAGGGTCTTATCCAAACCCTACTGATGTCAACGGTGCATCTCCCACTTACAGGAGGTCCTGTAAGGGATGATCTGGTGGTTCCTTCTGGCCCTAAACTCTATGGCTGTAATGGGCTTTGGCTCGGGTCCTTAGCCAGGCCTACCAGGAGGCCGAGGCCAGTCAGCGCTGGGGAGCTGCGAGGCCGGGGGGAGTGCGCCTCCTCGTCTCCCGGCTCCATGTGGGCTCTCCTTGGTGGTCCCCCCACCCTGCATTCTGCCAGAGGCCACATCTGTTTAAACTCATCACCGTTGGCCGGCTGGTGTCATGACTTCTAGAAATGCTCTTTCCACGCTAATGAGGCCCCGTGAAGCATGTGTTGCCACGGTGGGGTGGAATGAGCTATTTTAATGGGGATCGCAGAGACGGTAGGGAGGAGTTTGGAGGCTGCTCTCCCCAGCTCAGGCCATGCGTGGCCCTTTATGGGTTACTATCTTGTCGACAATTCAGTTGGAATGCAGTAAATAAGAAATCTCACAGCTCCTGTAGCCGGCCTAGCGTCCTGATGGCTACCGGGAATTCCAGCAGCTTGTTATAGTTCAGGTCCCTGAAAGAAAGAGAGGGAAAGCATTCATTAAGGCCGCTGTAGGAGCTCAGCGGAGCATGTCCGTGCTCTGAAGGGATGGAAACTTGGTTATTAAGCATCAGAGATGGCTGTTTCCAGCTGTGCCGATCCAGCCACCAACGTCTGGAAACAACACACATTCCTGCCACAGGAATATTCCCAGCTAGGGGCATTGTCAGGCATGGGCCAGACCGGGCTCTGGCTGCCTAGAAGATGTGACTGTCTGGAATCCTCAGCCTCTCACCCCCGACCCCACAACAGTCCTCAGCGTTGGCCCGAGTTGGGCTCATTCACTATCTTCACTTTGTCCGCTCCCCACCCTGGAGTCTCACTCTCACATACTATTGTAGTTATAGCCATTTGCCGCATGTCCTGGGGGGGCCACATCTGAGCATGTTTACAAAAACAAGATACAAACAGCAGCTGCCGTTCCATGGGCCTCGGGGAAGGGCCACCGCTCTGATCCCCATCTCCCAGCCACCAAATGTGGCGCGCAAGAAGGAGGAGGGGATTCCAGAACAGGAGGCCGCCCAGCGGGAATGCTCTGCCGCTCGCCCCCAGGTGCTCAGCCCAGCTAGCTGTAGCTGCCCTGATGGAGCAGGCTCTGGGCATTAACTCCTGATGGTCATGCTTTTGGGACGGGGATTGGACATCCTGGACTGAATGCGGAGGTGATGCACAAGGTTTGGGCGGGGGGGGGGGGGGTTAGACTCCTGGGGAGCTACTGACACTTGGTGTGCACAGGAGGGGAAGTCAGTGTAACTGGCTCGCAGAGGCGCTAGATGGAACTTACAGCAGGGGGGTGGTTTCCTTTAGCTCGCACCTTCCTACATCTTCCGGTTAGCTGCTCATCTTGCTACGCTCTCCCGACCCTCTCATCACGTGAGATGCCCCATCTTACCCTCCCTGGGCATCCGAGTGGCAGTTTGAGCGGTGATGTGGGAGGGAGAGATGCAGATTAAATGGTGGCCGGCGGTTAAGACTCTAATTGGGTCTGAACTGGTGTTGCACATGTTGGGGGGAAGGACTAAGGTATAGTCACACCAGCTTAGTGGCTGATCCAACTCTGCTGACATCAATGGAGAGTCCTGCATTGACTTCAATGAGCTTTGGCTCACTTAGACTCAGATCCATTTCATACATCTTCTGGGGACCCCTCTACCAGTCCATCCTGTCCCACCCATGCCAGGTCCATGCCCTGTTCCAACTCCCTGCTGAAGCTGAGGTTGCCTCAATCACAATGGGAAGAGAGTGGGGGTTGGGGTGGCTAGCAAAGGTGCCCAAGACAGGAGCAAATTCTGCCTCTGGAGAGGGGAGTCTGTCCTAGCATTTCAACTCTGGCAATGGGGCTTCAATGCAGTTGATACTCTCCATGGAGACGCAGTTTCACCTTGAGATGGTACAATCCAGTCCTACTGATCCCTTATGGGCCAGGGCACCAAGAGACCGCGCTGAAGGTCGCACTTAGCATTGCAAGGCATGCATATCACGGCACTCCTTTCTACTGGCAGGTAACTCAGTGAATTTTAAGAGGTGAATCCCTTGGAACATTAGAGGAATTACTGGCTCCTGCAGATTACTGTGTAATTACACGTAATCGTTCCCAAAGTAATTACATCGAACCTGGATTGTGGGTTACAAGAGAAAAAGAACCATGAATTTACAGCAATGAGATGGTATTTGCTGCCTAATTACCTGCTAACTCCCACCCCCTGGGTCCTCACCGGGTAATTACCCTCTAATTCTCCCCTGTCCCCGCCCCTACATGGTAATTACCCCATAATTCTCCTCTGAGCCGCACCCCTACATGATAATTACCCTGTAACTCCCCCCTGTTCCCGCCCCTACGTGGTAATGACCCTGTAACTCCCCCCTGGCCCTGCCCCTACATGGTAATTACCCTGCAACTCCCTCTGGCCCTGCCCCTACATGGTAATTACCCTGTAACTCCCCCCTGGCCCTGCCCCTACCTGGTAATTCCCTGTCCCAATCTAGGATATCCGGCCAGCTTGTACTTGTGACAGTGACCCAAGCCTGACTCAGTGACATGGAAAAGAAAAGAATGAAAATAGCCTAAAAATTCCTTAATCCTGGCATCCTCATCCCTTCCTACAGGACTCACCGCTGTCCCTGCTGCCTGTAGGCTGACCAGAAGTCCCGTTTTTAAAGGGACATTCCTTGGGGACTTTTTCTTATATAGGCGCCTATTACCGCCCACCCCCTGTCCTGTTTTTTCGCAGTTGCTATCTGGTCACCCTAGCTGCCTGAGACAATCAAGGGCCCGCGGCTGGGCTAATGCTTTCCACCTTCTTGTCATGTTTACAAGTCTATCCTGAGCTGCATGGGTGAGGATCCAACTGGACTCCCTGAAAGCTACCTACATGAACCAAGGGGAGGCTACACATGACGATGCTATCCCTAAGTCTGAACCACACTGGGTCAATTAAGAGAGCTCCCTTGTCAATAAAGGATGGGTTGGTTTGACCCATTAAAGCCGGACATTGAGCTCATGGGTCAGTACGTGTGACGGGTCAGTTTCTCCATCAAGTCTGCTCCAGGTAATCTGTCCAGGATTAAGTGGGCTGACTCTGTTGCTCATACAACTTGTTATTGGGGGTGAGGGGGGGGGGAAGCATTACCTGTTATCCGACCCATGGTACTTCGCTGGCCTCTATCACCAGAGTATCTGAGCACCTCAGAGCCATTACTATATTTACCCTCACACAGCCCCCTGCGGCAGGGCTACTGCCACCATTGCGCATACAGCGAAACTGAGGCCCGGAGCGGCCAAGGGGCTTGCCCAAGGTCACATGGGACCTCTATGGCCCAGCAGGCACCAGTACCCAAGTCTCCCAAATTCTATGCTAGTGCTCTAGCCAGCGGACAAGCCTACCACTCTCACTTAAACAGTTTCAGCCCACCAATAAGGGAGCTGAGCCAATACCATGTGGCTTATGTGGCCAATCACGTATCATGGAAAACAAATAGGGAGGGGTTCCCCACTGGGCAACAGACAGCACAAGGCCGAGCCACCGCTTCAGTCCTGCTCCAGCCTTTGCAGGTCCTAAGTGGTGGCTAAGCCCCTACACAGGGGTGAGTTTCACCCCCATGAGCAGCTGGTATATTTATGAGCAGTCCACAGGAGGAAAACGCTTCCCAGCAGAAACCAGGCTTGGCTCCCGGATGAGTCACTAGCAGAAAAAAGCACCTTAATTCACAGCCAATATAATTTGCAAGGAATAATTCAACAAGCTCTAATATTTGCTCCCTCTCTTGCTCTGAAATTGCATTTCCTTTCCAATATATTTCCCTCTCAGGCAGACTATTACACAGGCTCCCTTCTCTTTCATCAGCAGACTAAACATTTTGTTTGCACATCAATGTGTCTGCAAGTATGTACAGGAATCGTTCCTCCCGAATAAATACACCCTTTCTTCCCAGCACTGCAGGCATCTCCGGACTCCCCTGTCAATACTTGGCAGATACAGGGTGTATTGTATTCAGCAGATACCTCTGGGTAGACGAGCCACCCCTGTACTCTGCCATGTATTGCGCTGTGTGGGAAGCTGAAGCAGACCCAGGTGCAATTGTGTTGTTCAGACCCAGGTGCAATTGTGTTGTCTGACTGGTGGTAACCCTGGGCTGTCCGGGAGAGACGCTGGACTTTTCTAAAGGATCCTGCTATCTTTTGCCCCAGTGTTTCCCAAGAGCCTCCACCCTGGAAGAAGAAACCAATTGCATCAGCCTGCAGCGCTGCTATGGGGTGTTAGCAGCCTGCCCATCTCGATGTATATGTCACCCTCGCTCCTCTGGCTGGTCCATCTCTGGGATGCACCCCACTCTGGAAAACACTGATCTACACTGAGTTCCCATCCAATTCAGTGAGACCAATAAGCAGAGAGTTATTTTCACTTCCAGGAGTCTCCCCTGCCACGTGGGGCCCGTTCCCCAAGTCCTTACTCAGGCATGGCTCATGCCTTACTTCCCTAAAAAGAGCCCACCTGTAACTATTGAGAAAAATCTCTAGACTTGACTTTCAGAGAGAAGGTCGCTGGCATGGGAAACCCTGGCTGTGCTCTTGTAGGGCAAACCAGCATCCCCACTCCCCCTTGCTGGGAGTGCTGATGGGTAAGGCAACGATTTACTCACGGGTATTTTTAGTAAAAGTCACGGACAAGTCACGGGCAAGAAACAGAAAATCATGACCCATGGCCTGTCCATGACTTTTACCATAATTGCCCCTTGAATCTTGGTTGGGGGAGCTCTGGGCAGTCTGGAGTCCGCCACACTGGCCACTGCAGAAGTCACAGAGGTCGCAGGACGTCATGGAATCCGAGACTTCCGTGACCCCTGTGACCAACATAGAGCCCTACTGATGGGACGCCGATGACCTACAACGAAGGCATGAATCATATTGGCAAGAGCATTGGCCAAAGAGGACAGGTACTTCCCAGATTCCTCAGCTCAGGATCTGCAGCAGTGATGAGCCAAGCCGGAGGGAGACAATGCTGAATATTCAGCGACGCTAATTCTGCGAAGACACGGTAGGAGATCTGTCTCCATAAAGATAAGACCAGCATCTGGGGGTCAATTCCATCCCTGGTGTAACACCACTGCCTTTGTTCCGGGGATAAATTTGGCCCGTCCTGTCTTACCTGTCTTGGTTTTCCTGTGGGTGACAGAACTTGAATTCTTCTCTTGGTTTGTCTTTTGGAAAAGATGGACTGGGTGCAGCTAGGGGGAAAACCTGGCTCTAGGGGAAGTCAGTAGGCATTTCAGCATTGACTTCAGTGGGGAGTCGGTGTCACCCACAGAGTCTTTAGACTTGAAGAGGCCCTTTTTGTGGAGCCAGGATTGGGCAAAGACACTCAAGGAAGTCACGCCTGGCTACAGCACTGGGGCCTTCCCAGCTTTAATCTTCCAGGGATGCTGAGCTGTGCCTCTAAGAGGTACAGAACAGAACTTACAGCCTGAGGGGAAGG